AATACATCTAGATGTTGTCTACGAAATTACAATTAATATACTGAAACATCCTGGACATTTTTTGCTTTCAACTAGAAAGTGAAGTATCAAAAGACCCTCCACGCCTAAGAAGTCGGATTAACGTGTTAAAAACGTGGTTAATTGATAATCATGAAGTTGGAAGTTCCATATCGAAACACCTGGTTGTTGTTACCGGAAACAGTGTGTAAGATAATTGTTACTGAAAATAATGTGCAAAACACCTGGTTATTATTACTAGAAATTATGTGTCCAACTCTTGGTAGTGGTTACCGGTAATAACACCTGGTTATTGTTACTAGAAATGGTGTGTCAATAACCAGGTGTTATTACCGGTAACCACTACCAAGAGTTTGACACACCATTTCTAGTAATAATAACCAGGTGTTATTACCGGTAACCACTACCAAGAGTTTATTACTAGAAATGATGTGTCAAACTCTTGGTAGTGGTTACCGGTAATAACACCTGGTTATTGTTACTAGAAATGGTGTGTTAAACTCTTGGTAGTGGTTACCGGTAATAACACCTGGTTATTGTTACTGGAAATGGTGTGTCAAACTCTTGGTAGTGGTTACCGGTAATAACACCCGGTTATTGTTACTAGAAATGATGTGTCAAACTCTTGGTAGTGGTTACCGGTAATAACACCTGGTTATTGTTACTAGAAATGGTGTGTCTATTTCCCATATTACCCTTGATTTAATATAAATGCTATTATGAAGTGTTTCACTTATCTTTGATTTAAAAGTTACTAATGCCCAATATTTCCGACATCATCCTTGTTTTAATACAAATGCTATTATGAAGTGTTTCACTTATCTTTGATTTAAAAGTTACTAATATTTCCCATATTACCCTTGATTTAATATAAATGCTATTATGAAGTGTTTCACTTATCTTTGATTTAAAAGTTACTAATATTTCCCATATTACCCTTGATGTAATATAAATGCTACTATGAAGTGTTTTACATATTTTTGACTTAATGGTCACTGTGCCAAACGTTTCATATGCTATTCTCATTTTTAATAGACACTACTATCTTTGATTATATGGACTACTGTAATCATGTGTTGAACATACTCTTTGATTTAAAAGGCTACTATTATCGCTTGTTTCACACATTACATTTGACCCGAAATGGTTCTACAATTGTGTTTCACACACTTATTTAAAAGGCTACTATTATCGTATGTTTCAAACACTGTCTTTGATTTATTAGACAGCTATTATTAAGTGTTTCATACGTTATATTTGATTTATTATGTTTCTATTATCAATATGTATATATCGTCTCATCCAAACCAATAGCCATTACCAAGTCTTGTTTACACATCGTTTCCTGTAACAATAACCAGGTGTTATTACCGGTAACCACTTCCAAGAGTTTCTAATATTTCCCACATCATCCTTGTTTTAATATAAATGCTATTATGAAGTGTTTCACTTATCTTTGATTTAAAAGTTACTAACATTAGTAACTTTTAAATCAAAGATAATTGAAATACTTCATAATAGCATTTGTATTAAAAGAAGGATGATGTCGGAAATATTAGTAACTTTTAAATCAAAGATAAGTGAAACACTTCATAATAGCATTCATATTAAAACAAGGATGATATAGGAGATATATATATATATATCTACTTTGGTTTCTCATAAATCTGTAATCCAAAGCTGTCATTTTGTATTGAAATCCTAAAGTTAGTTTTTGAAATAAGTTTATTGTATGTAATATTTTTTCCGGTTGTTCTGTTTACTTGGGAAATGGTATTGATGATGCGAAAACATTTTACCCAAATGTGCTGAACTAATACTATTGTAGAAAGCACGAATTATTTTAAAAATAAAGTTTCAATGAGTCTAGCACATTATTTTAATGCTGTATAATAACAGTTTACGGATTTCGCGCAAAGCTACATGAGGGCTATTTGCGCTAGCCGTCCCTAATTTAACAGTGTAAGACTAGAGGGAAGGCAGCTAGTCATCACCACCCACCGCCAACTCTTGGGCTACTCTTTTACCAACGAATAGTGGGATTGACCGTCACTTTATAACGCCCCCACGGCTGAAAGGGCGAGCATGTTTGGTGGGACGGGGATTCGAACCCGCGACCCTCAGATTGCGAGTCGAGTGCCCTAACCATCTGGCCATGTCGGGCCAATAACAGTTGTAAGGACAAAACTGATACAATAGAGCTATACGATGATCTGTGTCGCAGAAAGTGCGTTACATATACATATCTGTGAATTAACCAATTATGGACGAGAGTTTTTTGCCCAATCAGAGGTATATAATGCTCAAAGGAGAAATGTTTATGTGGGTGTTTTAATGACTACCAGAATGACAAATAAACAGATAGATAGACAATGAGAAATAATGGGCTAAAAGTGTTAAGTGAGGGTTTGAAACACGTGGGGACTGGTGTCATTATCTAATAGAAACTGACTTATGTTTCCTGTTGTCCAGATAGACTGAGAACGCGCAATTTTTAAGATTGAAGAGGATGTAGTACGAATTACGTCTTGTTGGTGTTGGAATCATGGTTCATTACTTTATGGACCGTATCATTTCTGGAACTAAACATCAGTATCACTGTATTTTACAAGAAATTATTGCCAAGGAAGCTTGCTTGGCAGCAAACGCTTTCCAAACAAATTTATTCAGTAAATATTACATTTGTTATAATCAAGGAATTCATATGTGTTACGTAATTTACGTTAATTCAAGTTGAAGCTAAGTCACTAGAGATCCGTAAACTCGTGTCAACCGAATAATCCCACCTTCAATACTATTGGTTCAAATACAAGTCACGTGACGTTAACAGGATCTTTCTGACAAAGCTTCAAACATATTAGGTAGAGAACGGTTTGGATTAACTTTATGTAACAATACTATATTGAATTTAACACAATATATACGAAAAAGTAGAAAATGCAACATGGTTGACAATATTCGATGTTGTTGTTTTTTTATCTGTCTATATAGCCGTATCTAAATTTGTCTAATAACTTAGTTTAGTATTTTGAAATAGGACATCTAAATATCTAAAGCTACTAAGACTATTTGTCGCCATTCCTAATTTTGAACTACTGAGGGAGAGCACCCAGTCACCAGTACCCATCACCCACTCAGATATATATATGCATGAAGTTTTGGTGTATATTTAGTGGGTACATTTGAAAATCTGTTACCAATGGTGTATTATTGCATCACGAGACATCGCGCTGTAGCCAAACTTGTTTTATCTGTTATAGCACCTAAATTAACTTTCGCAAGTTAGATATTAAAATAAATTTTAATTGAGATAATTCATGGTTACATCATAACCTATAGACAACAAGGAACCATTTGGTCCTTCAATGTTGCCCTTTTCGTACTCACCCTTTTTAAAGCCAAAAACTCAAACCCACTCTTTACTTTCAGAAAATCGTCGTCTCCTCTTGATCTCCTGTACATATACACGTTAGTTCCTAGTATAAATATTATTTTTATGTCTCGAAATAAGTTCGAACGTCCATATTTTCAGGAACAATACCCTGAAAAATATATCCAACAACAATATTCGAGTTTTCTTGCAAGTTGAACATTGTTGATCTATACAAATCATGAACATTCTTGCCTATTTAAAATCGTCTTATAATTGGCAATAAAGTTAGAATAAATAAAAAAAAACTATCTTTATTCTCCAGATAATAATAATAAAAAACAACTTCAGACAACGTTTCGCCATTGCGGCCTCATCAGGTCCAATAGTATATTATATTGTCCAATTGCATCTTGTTCAAATTATCCATAAATTATCCAAAATTAATTAATATGTAGGAAAGTTAATTGAGTATTTACGTAAGATATTTTGATGCTTAATTTTAATGTATTAAGCCGTCAAAGGTTTGTTAATATAATAAGTGATTAGGAGTAATTAATGTCATTTTAAACAATAATTTCTGTAGTTTTAAAGCGAAGTGGCACTTGTTGAGTTAATTTAATAATGATAACCTTTCAGCTCACTCTTTTGCAGTTGTATTATTGCAAAGAGTTACTAATTTAAAAAGAATATTGAAAATTAAATTAAGCAAATTGTGCTTAAGGTAAAATGTTGTAACAGTTGGATTTGAAATTCCCGTAAAGATACTCGTGGGCTGTCTGCGTTAGCCGTCCTCAATTTACCAATCATAGAATAGTGAGGGAAGCTAGTCAACAGCACTCACCGCCGCCAATTCTTAGGCTTGTCTTTTACCAACGGAGAATGATATTGACCATCACATTATAACGCCTCACGGCTAAAAAGTAAAGCTTATTCGGTGACGAGGATTAGAACCCACGACCAGCAGATTGAGAGAGTCGAGCGCCCTAACCACCATACAAACCCATTGTAATAGAAAACAGAAGCCCCCCCAGTGGCACAGCGGTATGTCTGTAGACTTACAACGCTAGAAACCGGGTTTCGATACCCGTGATGGGCAGAGCACAGATAGCCCTTGTGTAGCTTTGTGCTTAATTAAAAACAAACAAACAAACAGAAAATAAATGGAAGTTTTCAAGGAAATGCTAGTACGCGAAATTCAAACACACAAAATACATTTGCATATATTGTGGTACAGAAGGATGACTCCTAGATTAACGAGGTGTTTCCTTCAGTGTTCCGCCAAATCCTATGCTCGTTGACCGTAATGCGCATGCGTATAACCTAAACGTTCATTGTTCAAAAAGGACTCGAGCACGTAAGCTTGCAACAGATTTAATAAAGTATGTAATATTTTCTTGACTGCCTTTCGGTAGATTGACCAAGTCAATATATTAGACCCGTTCTCTCTATAATTAGGAAGAGCGGAAATAAGATTTAGCACGTAGTGTTGCCAAGTAGGATAGAACTTGGACAGGATTCAGTGGAAACTAACATTCACATATGACCTAGACAAGACGTAGACAAAGCGCCACGCAAAATGTGGCGTAGCCCCGTGAAACAAAAACACAGTCGTTCTATCTGCGCTTCACATTTACTTAAATTCATAGATACTTTAGAAGTAAATTCCTGCTACTCTTGTTTCACTGTTTGATAAACTGTGAATTATCAGCCACGTAAGCCATGTACATCTTAGATGGTATGTGATTTTGTTTTGTTTGTTAAACCGTGAATCATCAGCCACGTAAGCCATGTACATCTTATATGGTATGTGATTTTGTTTTGTTTGTTAAACTGTGAATTATCAGCCACGTAAGCCATATACATCTTAGATGGTGTGTGATTTTGTTTTGTTTGTTAAACCGTGAATTATCAGCCACGTAAGCCATGTACATATTATATGGTATGTGATTTTGTTTTGTTTGTAGTTAAGCACAAAGTTTGTAGTTAAGCACAAAGCTACACTAAGGGTTGCTATCTGTGCTCTTCTCGCCACGGATATCGAAACTCGGTTTATAGCGTTGTAAGTCCACTGGGGGTGGGGGGTTGTTTTGAATTAAGTTTGCCTCTTCTGCTTCACCGCATATCTAAAAAGTAATAAATCAAGTAATGATGTACCAAAGACTGGGTACAATGGAACTGTTTCTCGGTCTCTTTCAACAAATGACGCTAGGGGTCCATATTCGTCCGCTTTTTTTTTAAAACACACTTTTCTACGTTAGATATACATCGAGTGGCTCTTGTGGGTCCATGTTTTGTGCATAAGAACCACACACCACAATGTGAACACAAAGATCTATATTGCTCTTAATTCTACTTCGTGAAATCCTTTATGTCCTATGAGTACACAACCAAAAACAAAATGGATGGGGGAGGAGGAGGGAGTAGAGTTCAATTTGTACTTCTATTCTAGGTGGAGATCTTACAGTAGATGTGATATTTCAATTGTCACTATCAAATCTGAAAACCGATCTTTAAACCCGTAAAAAATTATTGATTTATTTCGCTGATTCAATCTCTTTGTGTGAAAACAAGATTTGCATATAACGTAAGCTATATGTATAGTTCTGTCTGGATAACCTTCCAGCTGTATGTCTATGTATATATATATTTCAACTTGAGTTTAATTTTGTACACGTACATGTATATATATTTATGTATCGTGTTTCCTTCTTCTCCTCACTCAAAATAACAAATATTATATTTATATAATATCGATAGGTTGTACTTCATTCAATTGTTTCAGGTTAATTTAAATAAGAGTCGAACTCAAAATCTTCTTAGCCTCGTATGTTCTCTCACAGATAAGAAAATAAAATCAATTACTTGCTGCATAACATTGCGCTAGGGGGAGCTGTTCTGTACATGCAAACACGTGAGACAACAAAAATAAATAGATGAGTTGTTGTCGTCAGATAGAGATTTCAATTTCAATTATTTTGGCTCAAAAAACAAAAACAAAACAGAATTACAAGTTTCCCAGATTGCTTTCTGAAATATTAGTAAATAAAATAAACAATAAAAAATGGAACGATAATGGAATACATTATATTAAAATATAGATGTTATCATGTAGATTGTACTTAACTGTTTTTTGTTTGTATTTTGATATTTTGTTTCTTACATTATAGCAGAATGCTAGAACTTTATAAATATAAAACGACATTAAAAAGAACTGGTGAAACAAACACACACAGGAGCAGTTTTCTGTCTGTGTATGGTGAACGTTGAATAGATACAAAAACAAGAATTGATATATTTCATCTTGACTTATATATACGAATAAAGATATTAAATTTACACATTAAACATAGAGCTTAGAGCTTTGTAATTTTAATAACTGTTTAGCTGAGGAATTCTATTCGTTATTGATATATGACATGTCTAATAATATATGTATAAATACGCGCGCGCGCGTGTTTATGTGTTCGTGCTTGTGTTTAGGACAACTAGTTTAGTAGTGCATAAAGTATTTTGTTTGTAATTTAGCAAAAAGCTACACAATGGGCTATCTGTACTCTGCCCACAACGGGTATCGAAACCCGGTTTCTAGCGTTGGAAGTCCGCAGACACTGGAGGGGAGTGTATAAAGTAAGGAGAACTCACTAGAAATTCTAGTTTTATGAAAAAATATAAATAAATATACATGTTAACCTAAATCTTTGAAACGCAACTTTTTAAAATTCTTTATTACATATCTCTATATTCTTTGCAATAATTTCTTGTTCTGCTCTTGGTGCTTCTTTACTGTTAGAACCTTTTTTTTTTAAAGAAAAAATCTATGATAACGTACAAGTGTAAAATACGCTACCTACCCTTTTAACATTTTCATTAAATAATTCAGAAGAAATATCTTCA